CAGGTGTATAAAGTCAAGCACAATCTCCACAAACAGTGAGTGTGTTTACATGCACTCAATAATCTGATCATAATCAGATTTCTGCAGTTATTTGATTATTTAAATAGTCATGTAAACACCATACTCTGATCTAGAAATCCAATCTAGAAATCTGATAAAGAGAGCTGGATTTTTTTCCTCAGTGCATGTAAACTCTTACTCTGATTTCTTTCGGATTTCTCAGCCTGCGCATGTGCGAAACAGACGGGGGTACCGGAAATAAGCGAGCAGTGTTGCCACGAGATTCAGCAAAGCACTTTTGGAGCGACGCTGAAACCGACTCCATTCTTGACGAAATGAAGGGTTTAAGGGTTTAAATATTCATATTTTCAGGTAAAGTGGGTCAATTTTTTTTTTTAAGTTGTGGCATGAAGTTTGAGTCACATCACGGCTTCTTCTGAGAGTTTATTGGCTGGATGCAAAGCAGAAATCTGATTACTGTCTGACTCAAGTAGACCTGGAGTTTCCCCATTATCTGATTATTCACACTGTAAAAAGTGGCTCATCAGATCTACCTAAAAAATTACTTCATATGCTAAATTAACCAGTTTTATTCAACCTAAATAAATACTTCGAATGAACGATTCTTTCATCAATGTAGTTTTAAGTTAATTAAAACTAGTTCAATTGCTTGTCACCACATGAAGTAATTTTCTTAGGTATATCGGACGAGCCACTTTTCACAGTGCAAGGCATGTAAACGCGATCAGATTACAGACAAAATCTTTTTCTGCAGTTATCGGATTATCAAGTGCTTGTAAACTCACTGTCAGTCATACTGAACAGCTCAGTTTTAAGCATGACACTGTGATAGGATTCCACCCACCACAAAACAGTCTGTGAAATTTCGGCCCTGCTGGATTTGCCCCAGTTAAGTGCTATTACTGTGAGAGTTTAGGAGCCACAACAGCACGGTTGACCACACAAACTCACTGAGCGAGGCTGCTAAGTGCCGAAACGTGTAGCGTAAAAAAACCCACCTATACTCTGTTTCAACAACAGCAACATCAGCGCAAGAGCTGCGCATCAGGAACGTCAAGAAATGGGTTTCTGCACACAGGCCAAGGGTCACTATGTGCAAGGACAAGTGTCAGCTGGTGCACGGTGCCACTGGACTCTGGAGCAGTGGACACGTGTTCTCCGGACTGATGAATCACGCTTCACTATCCGGAAGTCTAATGTTTTAATCTGGGTTTGGTGGATCCCAAGTGAGTGCTGCTTACCAGAATGCATTTTGCCAGTGGTAAAGTTTGGTAGAGGAGGGATAATGGGCTGGTGCTGTTTTTCAGGGTTTGGGCCACTTAGTTCCAGTGAAGGGTGATGTTAATGTTACAACATACAAAGGCATATAGACAATTATATGCTTCCAACTTTGTACAAACAGTGCAGAGACCTGAGAACCCAAAGAACCTTTCCTTATTCCCCCCATGACTGAGCCCCTGTGCACAAAGTGAGGTTCTTAAAGATGGTTTGACTAGCTTGGTGTAGAGCGATTGGAAATGGACCGAGACCCGCGGGTTTTGCTGTTTGATGCAGACCTGAATACAGGTGGAGTGTTCACTCACGTCAAAACGGAGCGAACTGAACCATCAACTGTGAACCAGGCCTTCTCGTCCAACATCAGTGCCGGACCACAGACACATCCCAAAATCCCATGGAAAGCCTTCCCAGAAGACAGGAGGCTATTATAGCCACAAGGGGGAGAACTCCATTCTAATGCCCATGTTTTTTGGAATAGGATGTCCAAAAAGCTCACATAGGTGCGATGATACGGTGCCTACATACTTTGGTCATATAGTCTAGCTCTGTATTAAGACTCTATCAGGCTATAAGATAATGTCTACATGCATACATCCTCATACAAACGTCAACAGTTCTCCAGAAGAATGTGTAAATTTACCGTTTTCTCTTTAGAATGTAAAAATATGAGCTAAAACCATGTGTTCTCAAGCTCATAGCATGCATGCTAACACCATTAGTGTCAGAGGATGGCAAACCATACAATTTTTTTTAATGAAGTAATATAGTAATTCAAAAACTGGTGATCAACACCTCAAAATGCTATTCCAGTTTCAATTCAGGTGCACTTACTGGTTACTGGCACTATCACTGAATGACTATCCTCACTTGAAAGAGTGAAAAAGTACTAAATAAGTGCTTATATTACAAAGTGAGAACGACGTCAGACACAGCATGAGCTCAAATAAACACTAAGTAATTATACCAATTATAGCTCCTGCTACTAGACAGAGCAGGAAACAAAACCTTGTATCTCCAAAATAATAACTTTACAGGAGAAGGAAAAAAAATCATACTTTACTTTTAATGTAAGTCAATGGAACCAGAATTTTTCCAAGCAATTTTGAGCCGTTTCTTTTGGTCCATTCATCATGAGATTTAAACACAATGTAAAGAACAACAGGCCTTTTCAAATTATGTAAAAAAACTGAAAAACGACTTTTTTAAAGGTTTTCTTCCGACAGCAGCGATTTAGTGTTTGTGTAAGACTCATATCATGTTTCAATGAATATGTTTACCTTTTATTTCATTAATTATACTGTAGCCTTAAATGCGGATGGTGATTTGGCTTTAAATCGGTGTATAGTGCTTCCGACAGCAACACTTGCGCATGCAGGTTTCAAAGAAGGGTTTCAGGAATACCTCTGACTATTCAGTGACTCAGTGACTCAGTCAGGCAGTCTGTCAGTCTGTCAGTCACTCAGAGACAGTTATGCTCTGTTCTGGTGAAACATACTAAGGACTGTTCACAGTAGTGCTGATAGGAGAAAAACATCCAAGTTTAAGGCCCCTAAAAGCTACACGTTACTACACAAAACGGTTACGAATACACTGTCTGACGCTCGAGATACTGTTTTATGACAGTTTTGAGATTTAATAATAAAACATATTATTATTTTAAATATATCCATGGCAGAAAGATACCTTGAAGGCGTTATAAGGCAAAAAACAGTACTGAAAGACTTGGGCTGTGTCCCAATTGTGTACTACACACTAATACTGTACAGTATATACTGATCCTAATAGTATGAGCTCGACAGGTTAGTACACAAAATATTAACATACTACACCATTCTTACTAACAGGAAGTAACGGACCGTTGCTATGACAACGCACATCATAGCAAGCTAGACCCTGAAGGCTAGCTAACAAATTAACGTGGATTGTGGGACAACAGTGTCCATCATTACTATACTCAAAAATCGACTGGTTCTAAGAAGGGCTGGGCGATAAAACGATAACGATAATTATCGCAATATAACTTTTCCTCGATAGAGCGATACGACATGTTCGATAAATGTTCGATATAATACACCATTCTCACACTTCCACGTTCAGCGAAAGCCTTGGTGGCGTTTTCTACTGCAAGGAAAGCGACTCTACTCTGCTGTCGCCAGGAGAGGGCGCACTTCCGAGTTTTTCTACATGATTAGAGAGGGAGGGGGCCATGAGTAAAAAAAGGGTCGCCAAGTATACTTTAGCAACGACTGAAATGTGGAGTTATATAGTCCCTGTTTGAGTGGAGCGACCGGCGATCTGCTCTCCTGTGACCGAGTGTGAGTGACGAGGTCAGTGGTGTAACTGTACTGTCCTACAGCGAACTCACCTCTTTACTAACATCCTAACAGCTTTAGCAGCGTTAAATCACAATCCTCACAACTACAGCACTGTTACAGCGCTCAGTCATATTTTAGTATTAGTGCATTCACAAGCAACGAAAGTGAAAGAAAGAAGTGGGTTCATGTAAATTACAGCCCTGATTTAACCGAAAGTAAACTGAGGAAGCTGTGAGGCATTGGAGAGCGGGAGAGCGCTAGCTTTCCAGGCTAGCTGTTTTTAGCAGCTGGCTAACTTGAAGCAGCTCTGTCACTCACACAGCACGGAGAATTGATGATGCTGTAGATCAAACACGACACAAAAGCACCGCTTTCAGTTTAAACGTACCTAAAAGGAGGACTCTGTTTGTCTGGTGTTGATATATTGCAGTTCACCACTTAAACTACTCCGATAGTATAGAGAAATCCAGTCGTCTAGCTGGTGTCTGAATACTGTGATGTCATGTGTAGCGGGGTAGCCGAGCGCTCGGCACCAGCTAAAAATAATCTGTTATCTTTCTTAAATTATGACTATTACAAAATAGCCGTGCTTTTCCAGCTGGTAAAAACAACTCACCAGACACTCTCCCCCACTCTCCCGTGACAGATTAGTGAAATGATCCACTGTTTGAGTGTTTGTCGTGTTCAGATCATAAAGGATAGTTTAAAACCACAATTAACCACCCAGGAGCAAAAATCAGCCTTCAAATGTGAAAGAAATCATGATTTGACATTTATCACGATATGTATCGATATCGAACAATATGAATTTTGTTTATCGTGATAACATTTTTGGCCATATCGCCCAGCTCTAGTTCTAAGTATGCATAGTGGATTTTTGAGTATACTCAACTTTGACACTTGTGACTATACTACTTACTACTTACTTAAACACTAGTTAGTATTAGTATTAAGTGCGCAATTGGGACGCAGCGATACTGTTTTAGCATTATCATTTACATATAAAAGCTCAGAAAGATTGTAGGTTAACTGGTTGTTTAGGACAGTAAATAAAATGGCTATATTTCCACTGGAACCATCACAACCCCTGGTTCCTCCACTGTAAAGAGTCAGTAAAATTCTCTACAGTGCACCATTTCACATGAAACCACTCTCAATTATTTTGTTCACATCTCAACGACTGAATCATGCAAACATTTTGAAAAAGCAACAGGAATCTTTTTTTAAAGTATCATTAGGTAGCTTTGTAAAATGGTAAACAATGTAAAATCAATAGAAGAATATGATTACAATAAAAGGAAATAAAAAAAAAAAACTAAAAATGAAACAAAACAAATAATTCATCAAAAAAAATGAAAAAACCTCTGGAGGACATGTGAAACTTACCTTGGGCTGAAGAATTCCCTGGGCGTTTGACCACTCCAGACTGACACGGCACGTCTTTGCTTTGAGCGACTTCCTGACCAACCTCCACTACCTGGACCTGCATCAAGGGGGCGCTCCACTTCATGGTGTATTTGGGCCCTACAGGAACCAGGCTGCTGATGTCTGGAGGCCCTCTGGTGGCAAAAATGAAAAAAAAAATTCTAAATCTTCCCTTCTTTGAACATCATAAGTCTGTCAGAAGAGTTAAGACCAGTCTTTGTGTTGTCATGAAAGGAACGAGGCCCTGATTTTACAATGCGTCTGATCAGTCGTGGGCACGCAGAAGAGAGAGTGACACCCCCGGCTGTTCGGAGGCTTCATTGCTATTCATGTATTCCTGCAACAACGCACAATCAACGTTGTGATCACTTTGTCAAAATTTCTTCCTAAAGGGCGAGCAAAGTCAACTTCAGGAGAACGGCGCTCCTGAGGAGATACTGAATGAGGATGATTGTGAAGATGAAAGAGGAGGCATCAACATGAGCTTTCTGCAAACTGCATAAGGGGAAGAAGAAAACTCCTCGCTGTTTACCTTTTGCTCCGCTGCGATGTGATCAATGGTGCTGTCATAGATAATCTATTTGAGGAGGACGGAAGAACCTTTTATGCCAGTGATCTATGGATATAATCCTTGCTTCAGTAGCTAAACACCCAGCCATTTGTTCCCAGATAATGAAGGCCCATTTGACTCCGCGCAATTCAGCGCAGCGTCTCCGCCATTACGGCTAACCCCCCTGCTTCGGGCCTAATGTTTCAGGAGGGCCATGCCACATTTAGAGCCACTGATGAGCCACCATCACTCAGACTGGCCCAAGGGAGATGGGGATGGACAATAGGAAGGTTAGTGGACCGACCTTGGCAGGGATACTTACTTGACGTTGATGTTGGCACAGATAAGCATGTCGCTGAACAGGAACACTTTGCGCTCCTTGGACTTCAGGACCTGGCCTCGTTCGCCGTAAACGGTCTCGATCAGCGTCTCGCACAGCACCAAGGAGCTCTGATCGGAATTCAGTACCTGGGGAGGGAACAGCAACAAATCAAGGACAAATTTGCAAACATTTGATATTCACAGATATTTACTGAAATACGACAGCTTGGAATATTTGTCAGAACGGTACGATTCGGACATCAGTCCTTCAGAAAGAGCTTAAACTTCATACAGACTGGACAGACTGGAGGTTTGCTTGGGCATAAAACTGAAGTCCTAACCCAGGACTTTGGAGTCCAATCCGATCAGGTCCAAATGGTAGTGCTAAATCTGAGACCCGCACCTGACTAGAACCTGCTTGGACGCACAAGGCATAACTTAGCTTCTTATTCATAAGCATCTTATTGAAAATTTCCATTCTACCTTAAACGGTGTAGCAAATATATTCTGGCTGTGCCATTTAAGGTGGAATGGAACATTCGAACATGAAGCTAAACTTCGAAGAACAAAGAAAGATGAATTAATACATTAAAGGTTTTATACTGCTTAGCTTTATGACTTAGTGGGAGAATCCTGGTCAGCAGGATTTTGGGGAACACATCAAATTGCAATTTTTCTGAATAATTTTGCAACTACAATTTAAATTGTTATGATTTTTTATAAATTAAGGTTCAGTCCTGTTTTTTGGCTAGAATATCCACCTTATCTGGCCTGAGCCTTGATCCCTGATCCCTGTATGTAGCGTGTAAGACTGCCAGTAAGTTGTGGTTGTGATGTCACAACACATGGAGGTTTGGTTGCCACTGATTGGTCTAACTTATCTACCGGGTTATAAGGCTAAGTTTCCCCATGTTTTTGATAATGTAGGCTATAATTTTTTTTAAATTGCTGCTCTTGCAATTTGAAAATTGCACTCTATTAAATTGCGATGTAAAAACGATTCATCTTTCAGCCCTATTATCTACTGACAGTCTTTGGAGGAAGGACAAACCACAATCGGAGTTGCTGGGATGAATTGGTATGTTTTCATACATGTAATATGCTAACAGTATTTATTACCAATACATTTTATGGAATTGCCGATCGTCCCAGGCAGAAACAGGTGCCCACTCTCCTCTCATACACTGTTAAAAACGACCTCTATTCACTACCTCTGCTACTTTCTGGAATACTTAACACACTTCAGGTGAGCTTAGCAACTAACTCAACACATCTCTCTCATCATTTATGGTGTGGTTGTGACTGATTACTGCTTAACTTCATTTTTTATTTCTCTCAAACTTAGGAGCCAAAACGGGACACCTGGCAACCCTATTTTCTTTGCTACTTAAGTTTTCAACTTGCCATGCTGAAATCCATTAATGACCACCACCTGAATGAAGTGGGATTGACAGGGGGTGTGGGGTGTGGTGGACAGCTCAACAATGACTAAAATGGAATACAGGATAGTGAGACCATACATGTTCAATACACACACTACATGGACAAAAGTACTGGGACACCTACAGGAGCTTTTATAAATCCCTTTCTAAATCCATAGGCATTAATATGGAGTTGGTCCCCCTTTGCAGCTACAACAGCTTTGACTCTTCTGGGAAGCTTCTACAAGATGTTGGAGAGAGTCTGTGGGAATTTCTGCCCATTCATCCAGAAGAGCATTTGTGAGGTCAGACACTCATGTTGGACGAGAATCTCCGTTCTAGTTAATCCCAAAGGTATTTGATGGGGTTGAGGTCAGGGATCTGTGAGGGCCAGTCAAGTTCTTCCACCCCAAACTCACCCAGTCAGGCCTTTATGGAGCTGCTTTGTGCACTGGGGCTCAGTCATGCTGGAACAGGAAAGGTTCTTCCCCAAACTGTTCCCACAAAGCTGGAAGCATAGAATTGTCCAGAATGTCTTGTTCTGCTGAAGCATTAAGATTTCCCTTCACTGGAACTAAGGGTTCTAGACCAACCCCTGAAAAACAGCCCCATATCATCATCCCTCCTCCACCAAACTCTACAGCTGGCACAGTGCAGTCAGGCAGGTAATGTTCTCCTGGCATTCGCCAAACCCAGACTCGTCTATCAGACTGACAGATAGAGAAGCTGATTCGTCACTCCGCAGAACACGTTTCCACTGCTCCAGAGTCCAGTGGCGGCACTTTACACCACTTCATCCAACGCTTGGCATTGTGCTGGGTGATGTAAGGCTTGCATGAAGCTGCTTGGCCATGGAAACCCTGCCATGGAGCTCCCGGTGCGGTTTCTGTGCTGATGTTGATGCCAGAGGAGGTTTGAACTCTGCAGTTATTGATCAGCAGAGCGCTGGAGACTTTTATGCTCTGTGCTCCTCAGCAGAGACCCGCTCTGTCACTTTACGTGGTCTGACACTTCGTGACTGAGTTGCTGTGGTTCCTAAACGCTTCCACTTTTCAGTAATACACTCACAGTTGATTGTGGAACATCATCCTATTACAGCACCACGCTGGAGTTCAGTGAGCTCTTTAGACCCACTCTTTCACTAATGTGTGTAAAGGCAGGATGCAGGGCTAGGTGCCTAATTTTCCAAACCTGTGGCAATGAGACTGAATGAAACACCTGAATTCAATGATTAGGAGGTGTGTCCCAATACTTTTGTGCATACAGTGTATAAGCTCTGGCTTAAATAGGCCGATGAGCCCTCACAGATATTATGACCACTCACAGATGAAGTGATTATCTTGCAACTGTAAAGCTCTGGAATTTATTAGATGGTATGGAAACAGTCGGTTCTGGTAATTAATCTGTTGGATTCAGATCGAATTTTGTTGGGTCATATTCTGTTAAGGACCAACATTTCAAGATTGATGACGGCTCTTTGGCATATGCACCTGCAACATTAACGTCAGCACAAGAGGCAGTGCAGCGTTTACAGAACCATAGTGTTCACACAAAGAAGGAGAAACGTAGAAACAGCAATCCATTTTAAACCCCAGAAGAAAGTCTCACACCGCAGACAGCCTAGCTTTTCAAAATGTTTGTCATAATTTAACTGTTGTTTTGCAATAACTTCACATATTAAAAAGAAAGCTGTTTAGCATTTCCTATTTTATTTGTGAAAACTGTAAAACTGAAGGAATGAGGTACAAAGGCTTTACCCTGAGAGTGTAAAAGCCATCACATTTAATCCCTTGTTGTTATAGCACTCATCCGCATTCACACCTTTCAAGTGTTTAAGCCACCTTTGGCTGTTGAAGCTGTGTGTTGAAGTTAAATATATCCAAATAATTGGCAAATAGATGTTTTTTGCTAACAAAACTGCCACAGCTTTTTATTTTCACTTGGAAACATAACAAAGAAAACCAAATAATAGCTGGCAAACTTCAGCAAGGTGCCCCCAAAGCATCAGCCAGTTTATTTTAGAGCAGTAATGCAACACTAATCTACCTATAGCACCGTTCACTACCTATACAGATTAAAAGTCAATGAGGCTACAGTTTCATAATGTAAGACTGATCTGAGTTATACAGACATATAGCAAAGCACCGATGTGTGTTCAAACCAATGAAGCTGCAGCTTAATAAGACCGGCCTGGAGTTCAGACCTCAGTGCAATGCAAAGGAAAGCAATCAACAGATGTAAATGCATTCAAACTATATACTGTTTTACAGATATAGGGAGATTCACTCGAAAGAGGCCCTGAATAGTCTGTAATAACTCTAGCTCGGACGAAGCAATCTGAACCAAACAACGCTCAACGTGGAGCTTCGAACAAGCCAGGATGCCAAATCAAGTCAAGTCAAAGTTTATTTATAGCGTTTTTTACAACAGGTGTTGTCACAAAGCAGCTTCACAGAAAAATCCGGGTCCGAGACCCCATGAGCGTCACCATTGGCGACAGCTGCAAGGAAAAACTTATGTGTGTATATATTTGTATTATTTTTATTTTTTTATTTATTTTTTTTGTCAATTTTGACTTGACTTGGATGTTGTTCTACCAGATACCCTCAATATAAGGGAAATATAAGTGATGGTCAGATTGGTTTACATACAATTTGCTTGTTATTTACATTTTTTATACTTGCTGATTTGTAGTTTCTCCACCTTTTGGTTTTTACTTTTTTATTCCAGTTGATGCTTTGTTGTAATCGGTGATGTTCACATTTATTTTACACATCTATTTTTTCACATCTAATTTAGATGTAGCTCAAACAGCCAAACATACTAATTTAGAATATATAGAAGAAGTGTACACACACTTTCGGCCCTGTAGTATACGAAGGCACGGGCTAAGACTGAACCAGCCCGCACTGCAACATTTCCTGCAATGTTTCTGTCCCTGTTTTTTGTATCATTTCACGTATCATTTCTCCACGGACCGCATGGAATTATTATACTGCTGAAGTCTCACAGCCTGAGCTGCCACACTGGAAGATCTATATGCATCCAGTGACAGTTCTAGCCAAAACAAAAACAGTAGGACACAATAAAACATACAGCTGCAGTATATATACACAAACACAGTGGACCCACATCCTATGTTTATATGCTTTTCTCAGAAACAGCATTTGTTTGTTTAAAGGTTTTATAGGTCAGCAAGTGGGTGGCATCATTCACTGGACTGGCCGCTGTGTTATTCACTGTAACTATGTGAGCCCATTATACTGCAATATGATGAGATGCTGTGTTGGACTATGTTTCATGAAAAGACCAACTCCATCCACACTTTACCCAAAGTGGAAAAAACACTCTTTTTGGATGTATGGATTCTTTGGAAAGCTGCAATTAATAATGAATCTAACCAAATCTAACTGAACCACACAAAACTGAATCAAATCAAACTGAACTGGATTGAACTGAATTGAAACAAACCGAACAGAACCAAACTGAATCAAACTGAATCACACCATGCCGAATCGAAACAAAATGAACTGAACCAAATCTAACCAGACCAAACTGAACTGAATCAAACCAAATTGAACTGAATTGTACCAAAGTGACTCAAACAGAACTGAACTGAATTAAAACATATCGAACAGAAATAAACTAAACCAAAATAAATTGAACTGAATCGTACCAAACTAAACCAAACAACACCAAACTGAATTGAACCATATCAAACCGAACCGAAACCTATTAAATTTAACTAAACTTAACAGAACCGAATCGAACTGAACTATACCGAATAGAACTGAAACAAACTGAACCATTCAAAGCTGAACAATTTAGAATTGAATTGGACTGAATCAAACTGAACTGAACAGAACCAAACCAAACCATACTAGAACTGAGCTGAACTGAACCAAACTGAACCATGCCAAACTGGACCATACTAAACTGAATCAAATTGAACCAAAACGAACAGGACCAAAATAAACTCAATTGTACCAAACTGAACTGAACCAAACCAAATCGAATGGAACCAAACTGAATTAAACCCCATCAAAGTGAATCGAATTGAATTGAACTGACAGAATTAACAGAATTTAACCAAACAGAACAGAACTATACCCGAACAGAACCAAACCAAGCTGAACCGAACTGAATCAAAGCATACCAAGTGGTACTTGAGGGTATGCGGCCCTATGAAATATAGACTACCCCATGATTGAAGCGCACATATCCTGGATCAAACAGAGTTTCTGTTCTGTTATTTTCATCTTCATACATGAACTTACAACACAGAGGTCATCAGCCAGTTTAATATGTGATCAGCCAGCTTGTGGTCTCCAGCCTCCACGCATCGTACCAATAAACCTTCAAGCAGCGAGAGGACAGCGAGCCGCACAGCCAGGCACTTCAAACAAACACTGTGGCTGTGCTTGATCATTCAAAAGACTGCGCTGCCATAAATAATGCATCTGTTTTCCTTCTCCAGCCACGGCACAACATCGCATCAGACAAAATGAGCTGCTGGATCTGCGGGGAATAGGGAACGCTGCTCGACCTTTGTTTGAAATGCATTGAAAAATTAGACACTCAGTCAGTCAAAAAGCCAAGCTCGCAGTCTGTATTCCTCAAAGTTAGAGCGCCCCCTGGAGTCTGGCATGGGGAATTTGCATTACCCCCAGAGTAAACAGGCAGAGTACATCTCCTCCAGCGTCCGAGTGAAACGCAAATATTTTGAGGTGAAACTGCATAACTTTGAAATGGTATCTTGTGCATATGCACGTATGTTTATACTATATGTCCAAAAGTTTGTAGACACCTGCTCACCCACCATTTCTTTAATACGGAGCTCTATCACTTCAGAAAAACAGTTCCACTGTTCCACAGCCCAAGGCTTTATACCCTTTTAGCCGATGCTTGCCATTGGGCATAATGACCTTAGGCTGGCTGTACACGGTGAAACTTTCATGCTATTTTAGTTGCTTGAGAATTCCATGAAACGACCCAGTGGGTTGTGAAGCACCCTCTAGTGGTCTGCAGGCCTGCAGTAATTCAGACCAGTAATGTCACTATAAGTCATAAAAACATAAGCGGAAAAATTATTTAATGAAACTTAATAATTCAAAATCTTAGAATTATATATATATATATATATATATATATATATATATATATATATATATATATATATATATATATATATATAACCCATTATAATTTATTAACCCATATACACAGATCAGGCATAACATTATGACCGAGTGGATCAGACACAGCAGTGCTGCTAGAGTTTTTAATAATAGAGTGTCCACTCACTGTCCACTCTATTAGACACTCCTACCTTATCAGTCCACCCTGTAGATGTAAAGTCAGAGACGATAGCTCATCTGCTGCTGCACAGTTTGTGTTGGTCATCCTCTAGTCCTTCATCAGTGGTCACAGGACACTCTTGGCTGGATATTTTTGGTGGGTGGACTATTCTCAGTCCAGCAGTGACACTGAGGTGTTTAAAAACTCCAGCAGCACTGCTGTGTCTGATCCACTCAGACCAGCACAACACACACTAACACGCCACCACCACGTCAGTGTTACTGCAGTGCTGAGAATGATCCACCACCCAAATAGTACCTGTTCTGTGAGGGTTCATGGGAGTCCTGACCACTGAAGAACAGGGTAAAAGGGGGCTAACAAAGTATCAGAGAAACAGATGGACTACAGTCTGTAACTGTAGAACTACAAAGTGTACCTATATAGTAAGTGGAGCTGATAAAATGGACAATGAGCGTAGAAACAAGGAGGTGGTCAGAATGTTAGGCCTGATCGGTGTATGCTTAAGTGATACAACTGCTCTAGTAGTGTTGTGCCATCTCTGCCTTAGGCTCATGTGTGGTCGCTCTAGAGCGTCCGATTCTCTTGGCAGTGACAGTGAAACTGTGCCTACTTTCCCACGCGCTGTTTTATCTCTCCTGTCCTGGTAACTCAGATACTCAGACAGAGGATGAATATTTCATCGAGTGCTTACAGGCTAATGGAGGCAACTGGCTTTTCACCACTGAAACTCTCCTGTCTCACTGCGCTCAGCGAAACTCCACCAGCAGCTCACACGCAAACCAGCTCATCTCAGGGACGAGAGACACAGCAGCGGAGTAGAGACAATAAGACTTATAAACGAGAGGAGTGGTGACGGTGAAAGAAGAGAGAGAGAGACAAATTACAGAAAGAGAGATTCTAGTTTCTGTTTTCCTTTTTTCCTTTGTCTTAGTTGTGTTTATTGTTACCTGCATTGGTCATAATGTAAGAAAATAGAGAGAAAAATAAAGGCTACGTTCACATTACAAGCCTCGTTGCTCAAATCCGATCTCTCTGACACGATGGTTCACGCTCGTTTAGGTAAGTGATTCTAATCTGTCATTAATGTGACGAACCGGCGTCCTGAAATGACCCTCATGAGCTCATCCTACTCAGTAACGTCACGTGAATGAATCACGATCATCATCAGCACAAACTAACGAGCAGAACGAGCTTCGCTGAGAAGATCATTAACTCTGATCAGCTCTCAGCTTCATTATTAGAGCGAGACGAAGGAGAAAAAGGTGAGATGAGCTGCTTTTCCACCGTTTACAGGCTTTAGCTTCTGTTCGGCGCTGCTGCCATGGTAATGCCGAATGATGGCGCAGCGCAGTGGAAAAAAGGCACACGAATTCCGATTTGAGCGTCACATTAAGGTCGCACGGCCACGAATCGGATACGTATCTGATGTAGGACCACATATTAAAATTTGTGTCCACACAGCTCTGAAAAATTCAGATCTGAGTCAGATTAGGGCAAAAAATCAGATTTGGGCCACTTTAAGCTGATAATGTGAACGTAGCCAAAGAGACAGTGAGGGAAAGAGAGAGTTCTGTTTCTATTCCATTTGTTTTAAATGGAAAAAAATGAGAGAGAGAGAGAGAGAAAGAGAGAGAGAGAGAGAGAGAGAAAGAGAGAGACACAATGACTCTGCCATAAGAGAGAGCAAGAGAGCACAACAGATACAGGGTGAGTCGCGCTTTTCAATTAAATGTTTCATTTACTCCTTAATTCCTCTTATTCAGAAATGCATTTGCTCAGATTTGCAGCAGCTGGGTAGTTGAGTGTGTGTGTGTGTGTGTGTGTGTGTGTGTGTGTGTGTGTGTGTGTGTGTGTGTAATGGATGGGGGTCCGCTGCTCTGCTCCTGGGCCGCGCTTGCTCACAATAATGGGCCATCACTGGCTGCTGATGACTGTAGCTTGTCAGTGCTAATGGGAGATGTGTGTGTTATTTCACAGCTGAAGGCAGTGGTGGGAAAACACTGCGGTGGGACAATGTGGTGGGAGAACGTTATCTACTTTGGGAGAACGTTGTGGTGGGATAACATTCACTACGGTGGGAGAACACTCACCACAGTGGGAATATGCTGTGGTGGGAGAACACTGTGGTGAACAAGACTGCAGTAGGAGAACATTGTATCTGGAGAATGCTGTGGTGGGAGAACACTTGCTATGGTGAGAGAATGGTGTGGTGGAGAACGCTGTGGTGGAGAACGCTACAGTAAGAGAACACTGCAGTGGGAGAACACTCGCTTCAGTGACAAACATGCACAAGCAGGTTCTCCTTCCTGCAAAACTAGACTAAATCATACACAGTATCTCCTCTCCTGCC